ACCTAGTACTTATCTACTGTAGTTCAGTGACAAATACTTTTGGAAGGTGTATTCTTATTTTTCCAAATCGCCACTTTATCATGGCAGCCCTCCAGTGCCTCAACGATAAGTCAGCAGGCTTACGATGCTAAAATTAGGGTTTCGATCCCAGTGAGGTGCAGAGCACAGATAGCCCATTGTATAGTTTTGTGCTTAAAAACAACAGGGTAATAATTTTGATGGCAATTTTTAACAGCCGTCTGACCAATGAAAATTGTATTAAACAACATGCATGAATGAAATTTTACAAGATAATCTAGAAACCTTACTTTAATTACCAAGCCAAGAGTGAAAAGAACAGAGCCGAGGTCCCTAATTTAGGATTTATACCACTTGTTGTTTGTTTGTCTGTTTTCGAAAGTTTGCACAAAGCTACTTAAGGGCTTTCTATGCTCCGCCCCTAATTTTAGATTGATAGACAAAAATGGAGGCAGCTAGTCAACAGCACCCACCGTCAACTTTTGGGATACTCCAGTCTGACCGAATAGTGGGATTTTACCGTCACTCTTATTACGCACCTACGACCCACCAATGTAACAGTATAATGTTGACCTCCTTCATCTGATATATATGAATACTCTCATCATAATATTCAATGAATTTACGTTTCGTGTATTTCAGTATATGGTCCACAAAGCTACATAGTGGGCTATCTGTGCTGTGCCCATCACGGTCATCGACACGTGGTTTGTAGTGTTATAAGCCTCCAGACTTATTGCCGAGCCACTGGAGGAGGGGGTTAATGACAGGATGTATGCATTTTTCTTTCTCCTTTTGCTTTCCATTTCACTTCAAATCTTGTTCAGTTTTAATCGACCTATCACTATATATATATATATGTATATATACATTATTTGTTATCTCTATTTTGTGTTTTTTATATGTAATTTTTTCCAGCTCAATGATAACAAGGCTCGTCGTATTATCACAAATTTTATCACAAACTGTTTACATCTGCTGTTAGATAACTACGGGTTGATAAGCAACATTATGTTAAAAGATAATATAACTCTTGCTACATAAAGACCAAAGGTGACGAAATCTTGATGAAAAAGCAATTCGTTTACTTGTTATTATTTTTTGAAACGAACTGACACAAGTCGCCATTCGTCGTGAGGACGGTTCATAAGATGTATAGAGAAAGATGTTCTAAAAATGTCTTATTTTTACTGACTTACTGTTTGTGTTTATTAAACGTAAGCGAAACCTACCGGCATTCGGATACTTTAAAATCCAGTTCAAACAGAAAAGAATTGATGGGGAAACAACGTTTTTTTTCTTCTAGTTACGAAACATGTAAGTATGGGCGTGTCGTATCGGAAGTTACGCTGACGTAAATAGTACATATTGGAATAGTGCTTTTTAAACTTTGCAAGTGCAGGATATATATTTATCTTCGAAAATGCAACGACCATCAGTCTTTTTTTTTCTTTGTTTTGTGGCTATTATTTATTTTTACAAGTAGTAACCTTATGAAGAACGGCACCAGCTGTTTGAAATGTTTATCAAAGCTACCATGACAACGAAGAGAAGTTCATTGCACTTACAAAAACAGTCGAGAAACAAACGGTTAGTAATTATATCAATAAGTAATTAATTCAGATGATTTTTCTAAATAAGTTTTAATTGCAGGGTAGTAACATATTCTGGAATCTGAAATAAATTTTATCCATTTGTCGTAGTAGTAAAAAATTA